AAGTACTTGCGCTCCTGGTCGAGTCATAATGTCAACGTCAGGAATTGGGGGCAAGGGGAGGTAGGGACTGACTTTGAGCTTGTTCTGTAGGAGGTCCTTCTTGTTGGGCAACTTTCCGTAGAGACGGAAAAGCTTTTGCTCCTCCTCATTGAGAGACTGTGGAATATTAGTAAAGGCCAACTACTTCGTTTGTTTTGGTTGGGTGTTGGTGGGTTGTCGCTCACGCTAATGTCCACCTTATTCTTCTGGTGAGGGTTCATAATGAGAGACCCACAATGGGACGACTGAGGAAACCTGAGGTATGAGGAACAGCAATCCAAGTCTAGCTGTAGCGGTAGCGGGATGACCTGCTCTGGATAGGCAAGCAAACCGAGCTTGGTAATCTGTCGAAGGTCCTAATAGAGGTACTACCTCGGATTCACCTCCGAATTGGCTATGCCAGCTTAGGGTTGACAGCAAGGAGAAAGTTCGAGATTTGCTTCGAACACGAATTGGCCCTTTTTTGGCAATACCACCGTTTGCAGATTGTAGGTAGCTAGTGGGAGAAAACCAGGACAAGGATAGAGGTGGGGGGGTAAATCTAAGGTAGCGAGCGGCGGAGTGGCTGGCAATGAGAGTAAAAGAAGGGAATGGAGTCTATGGATGGAGGTTGAGAAAAGTGATAGGTTGGAGAAAGGTAAGGTATTGTTGGCGAAAGTGAGCTGTGAGGGGAGAACATTTGTTTTGTGATCGACCTCATAGTTGACTATTGCGGCTTAGAAGTCTTTGTAAGCTCCCGAGAGATTCTTCCTATTGGTCAATTCTATGGGCTTTCAAGTCACATGCCCACCAAATATTTCTTGTCCTTTTTTCTTGCCTCTCTTTACACCTACCGCCTTTTGTATCCATGCTTCCTTAACCATTCATGAGTCTAAATCGATTTCACGGGACAACAATCTTGATTTGGCCGCCGGAAGCAGTTGGGGCCTTTACATCTTGAGAAGCTCGCTTTATCCGGACTCACGTCAAGTACTGTCAACGATGGGAAGCATCTCAGGCAAAAAAATAAGAAGCTATATCGTCGAGCATTTAGATCCCGAACTTGGGCCATGGTCGACGCTCGAGTATCGATCAATCGCTCAAGACTCTGCCAAAGCCGGCGTGAGATTCTTCTTGAGCTCTGTCCCAACAGTAATGTCATTGCCACCAGAGCTTCGAGATCTTGAATCCTTGACAATAGAGCATCGGAGTGTAGAGAAGCTTTTTCAAGAGGATAAGGGACGAGTATGCTTGCTTGATCCAGCAGCCACTGTTGAGCTGAGTCCGGAGGATGGGACTAAATTCGATGTCTTTTTGTTTGGAGGAATCTTAGGTATAATACCCATGGAGCAATCGAGATGAATTCTTTTGGGTTGATCTGTGGAATCAGGCGATGACCCGCCTCGCGGTAAGGAAGAAGGATCCGCCAGGGTATCACGTAGGCACTAAGTCAAGTACAGACAGGACATCTGAGCTGCGGAAGAAGGGCTTCAGTGGGAGGAGGCTAGGCCCGATACAAATGACCACAGACACGGCAGTACGTGTGACTCGGATGGTGGTGGAGCAGAAAGGTCACTGAACCATCGCGCCTATGATCTGTGCTCTAGAAGCTGAGTAGCTATTGTAGTACCCCTTAAGGACATACCATACGTTGATTATCCCGAGCTACACATCGATGAAAATGAAAGCACGGAGATGCCATTCCGCTACGTCAAGGACGCGGACGGCTCACCTTGCATGCCAGAAGTGAGTTGCAAAAGATTCAAGCTGGAACACCAGGCAAATTTTTGACTCGTACAGGGAATGGTGGATTTGATCAAGGCTGACTCAGAGAAGGGGTTTGGCGACTTGCTTTGAGCGACTTGCTTTGAGCGACTTCCACTGGTGGCCTCGATAGCATAGGGTGCATTACCAGCGACGGTGTTTGCTAATGAGGAACATTAAGTAGCTTGAGACTGCTCATAGGTCCGCTGGACTCGTCCCAGTGGACGCTCCTACTTGAGCACACGTGAGTACAGAAATAAGGAACAGTGGCGGCGTGCCTACCTTGCAGCCCAACACGTGTCTTGAACTTTTTTTCCTCTGAGGCTCGCAGGGAAATAGCTTTCTTGTTTTCACCCAAAAACAAGCCTTTCCTTTTTTTGTTGCGTCGAATTCTGCAAGTGATGCCTGAAAGCCCCTGCCTCCCTTACTTGGACGGAGTATTCTGAACTTGTTGCTGTCCTTCATACAATCCAGTATAATACCCTGCATAATACCAAGACATCATGAGATTCTTGAGGGCTTCATCTTTGACTAAACAGAAGTCAGTCAGATTCTCCTGTACGCTGATAGCAGAATGGGAGTTGAAATCTCACCACCATTGGTAACTGCATTAGGCATCCTAGGCTTTTCTTGTTGGTCCACCGCAGTGCTTACATTGGCTAGGCGTTCCTTTTGCTTAGACTCGATAGTCGAGGGCCCCTAACGACACATGAGCCATGCTAAATGAAGCTGCTTTCGTTGCGCCCTTACGTGAAAATTCTCTGTCGACTCTCCGTTGTAGTATGTCTGAGCGCTCTTATCCTCCTCCAGCTCTCCGTCTTCCAGCTCTTCTGATGGGATACCGTTGGTTTGCATGTCTGTCGCCGCTTTGCGGAGGTCGTCTTCAGTCATATGCGCGTCTTGCATTTCAACTTCAGCCTCCTTAATCACATCTTCGACACGTTCGCCGCGCGCATATATACTGTGATAGAGCTATATTGAGACTCAGCAAGAAAAGGGACGTGATTAGAAGTAGGAAGTACCTTGTATTCCGCGAGAGCATCATCCCAGGACTGTAGTAGAGCAGTGTCATCCCAAACTTCCGCTTGTGAAAGCTGCTTTCTTTTCCTTCCCATCTCTAGCAGGAAGTCGCAGAATTTGAAGGTCCAATGGTAGAGTTGAAGCTCCTACGATTTGTTCCCGGAATTAGCGTGTGCAAGTGTATTTACAAATTCTTGGCACGGAGAAAAATGCGCGCGCAAGAAACCAGCAAAGACGTCGAGGTATTCTTCTCCTGCTTTACATCGCATTTGCATATAGATAATAATACTTGAAGCCTTTGTATATCACTTTCATAAGATGTGACCTCAGTCTCAGGGCGATTTAAATACTTTTCTACGGTATATAGTAAGAAGGAGTCGCTGTCATAGATTTACGAGTGAGTATTTCAAGCATAGTGCTCAAGGAGGATATATACCGAATTAATTGATATAATATGTGCTGGGGCGCGGGCTTCCCAGTAGTGAAAAGCTTGCCGAGTACTGGTTTTTGACTGTTTAATTCTCAGGGAGACCCCCTAAAACCCCTCGGACCCTTCGGAGGCTCTTTAAGGGCTCTCCGTCTCCGAGGGCTTCTATCGGAGGGGCTGTCAAAGCAAGCTCGAAATTTGATTATTTTAGTGATATTTGATTGATTTCGAGCTTGCTTTGACAGCCCCTCCGATAGAAGCCCTCGGAGACGGAGAGCCCTTAAAGAGCTCCGAAGGGTTTAAGGGATTTTAAGGGGTCTAACCCTGAGAATCGAGAGAGATAGGGATATTTTATTTGATATACTCAGGGGGAGACCCCCTGAAACCCCCCTAACCCTCCGGAGGCTCTCCGAGGGCTCTCCGAGGGCTCCTGCCGGAGGGGCTCTTCTCGCAAGCTCGATAATTTGGATAAAAATCTTAGTTTTTAGTATATCTTTACGAATACTTTATCAAATTTCGTCTTCGCTACTTTCTTTAAAAGCGTATAATTAACTCTATAACTCTATAAATTTACTTTATTATTATTTATTACGTAACGTTAAAGGAATTAAATAGAATAAATTGATAAAGTTGATGTTCGAGGTTCAGCCTTATGGTGCTTCCTCTTTTGGACGTACCCGTGTGTACCCGCTTTTAGCTTAGAAATGAAGAAATAAAGTGAGTTTTAGCTTCAAAATCACGATATCTGAAGACCTGATTGGTCAACTTTAAACTTATGGTTGTCGAACATTTTGTGATTTCAGTCTTGAGTAATGAGAAAGCAAGCTTTCCAATAAAGCTCTAGCTTTATATGGTGTTGGAAGGTTTTTTCACCAATAGAACCGTATTTTATATGCAAAACAGCCTTATATGCCAGTAGTGCTTTACTGCTATCGCCGCTAGTTAGTAAGCTGAGAATTAGGGGATAGATAGCGTGTTAACTATCAAATTAGTACGCGCAAGGACGTATTTCTCCAGCATGTTCTCCACCTATTCACCTGCTACGAGGCTATAAAGAACAATCCCGAGTTGAATGCGTAAGGATGACGAAGAATGGTGGATATAATATTCGGAATAGTATAGGTATGTAGAATGGGTGTGGAAAGGCTGAAATAGTAAGACTGGGGTAACTGGAGTGGGTACTTGATTGGCTATATAGATGACTAAGTAATCTTTGTACCCTCTCAGAAATACCAGCTTTATATGACCAAACCCCCAGTTGTTTCAAAATGATCACTTAGAACCATGCTTTATATGCAAAACAGCCTTATAGTCAACTACAGCTTTATATATCAATTAATTCGGTATTTGAGGCTAATATTCAGGAGTTGGAATGGAGGCTTAACGAGGAGGGTGTAGAGGAGTTTGAGGACGAAATACCTTAGACTTTAGATAAATACGTTCTATGAGTTAAGGCATAACTCCATGTGAGAAGCATCGCCTTTTTACTACTTACCTACTATCCTTGGGGTCTGTGCGCGTTTTTCTCTGTGCCAAGCATTGTAGATACACTTGCACACGCTAAAACTAAGACGGCGCTAAAAGACGTCAGCCTTGGCACCACCACAACAACAACAACAACGCGAGAAGCAACATTACCACCTCTCCTAATCTCACCAAACAACATTTCACGTCCGAAACAAACCTACAGTACAACATAATTGAAAAAAGATTCTAGACCTGAAACCCTACATAACTCCCGCGTGCGCGCTTGAACCTTATCCTTGCGACGATGCCGAAAGCCAAGACACCCAAGAATCTAGGTGAAAATAGATCTAGATCCACCATCAGCAACAGTCCTTCTAACAGATGCTTGTATCAATAGTTGTCGACGGAACCGCGAAGCTTGCCGCTAAGTCGAAGCCCAGTGACAAACATGAAGCTCCTGATCTCAACATCGAAGAAGCTACAGTAGCATCACCAAGACCATCGCGTAAGCGCGCAGGCAATTACTTCGACTTTGATGATGACGCAGATGCGGAACCATCAAGCAAGCCAGCTGAACCGAAGGCTGTCAAGCCCAACAAAAAGACAAAGACAGCACCTGCTGGTAAAGAGGAAAGATCAAATCAAGTTGAAGCGAAGCCAGCCGAGACTGTGAAGAGAGGCAAGAAGGGAAAGGGTGCGAAAGATGAAGTCGCTGAACCACCAAGCGAGACGAGCAACAAGGGAGTAGAAAAGCAAAAGAGGCCAAGGGGGCCGAAGGTTGCCAAGGATGATGTGGCCGAAGAGAAGCCTGAGAGCTCAAACAAGTCGAAGAAGGCGCCCAAGGAGCTAACTGCAGATGAAAAGCCCAAGACCGACGCTACTTCAAAGACCGCCAAGGCTGAGACGAAGACGAAAGCCAAGAAGTCAAAAGCCGAGAAGGGTGCTGCCGAACAGGAAAGCTCTACCGTCCTTCCAGATGTTGCTATGGATGAAGGGCCATTTGAGACACTGTTAGAGTCGGGAAAAGGGCAGGCTCCTGGAGCTATGGAGAAGCAACCCGCTACTCGCCCTCAAGCAACAAAGCCTCCGAAGACTGCCAAGAAACCTGCCAAGGAGTCGAGCAAGATTGAGTCTGCTAAAGCTTCTGCTGCGGAAACAGCTGCCGACGGCGCAGATATTGTGGAGAAAGGGGCCAAGGCTGGGACCGAGAAGGTCAAGAAAGCTGCGAAATTTAAGGCTCCAGCTACCGAAACAGCTGCCGACGTCGCAGATATTGTAAGAAAAGGGGCCAAGGCTGGGACTGAGAAAGCCAAGCAAGCTGCGAAAACCATGGCTCTAACTGCAGAGACGCCCGCCGGGTTTGCTGATGTTATGAAGAAGGATGCCAAAGCTGGCGCCGAAAAGATGAACAAAAAAGCGGTTTCAAAAGATTCTAAGCCCGCCAAGGATGATAAGTCCGTCAAGCTCACAGCATCTACCGAAGAACAATCGAAGCCTGAGGCGTCCAAATCCAAGAAGCGCAAGGCCCCCGCGAGCGCAGATACTGAGATCGTGAAGACTAACATTCTCGATCCGTTGTCTGAGCATGCTTCCGCAAAGAAGAAACAGAAGAAAGCGAACACCAAGTCCAAATCCGTCGGAGATGCTGTAGGAGATGCTGTAGGAGAGCTCTTAGCAACAGCAACCGAAGGAGCCAACGCCGCAAGAGCCTCCATTGGAGGTCTTGCTTCTTCGATCATGGGAGGCGCTAGCGAAGCAGCGGAGGAGGCAACGGACGCAAAGGAATCAGCGAAAGCTTCAGCTAAGAAGGCCAAGGGTAAGGGCAAAGCCATAGCGGAGGACGTAGCTGAATCTTCTGGCAAGATAGCAGAAGTTGACGGGCCTGGGGACGCCGACTCGGAAGACGACTCGCACGATGAGCCGGACGACCAAACCACCGCCCTTCTCGCAGGCTTCGAGAGCGACGGCGACGAAGCACCCGTTCCGGGCTCCGGCTTTCAACAAGGCCAGGAACTCCCTCGGCTGCCTAAAGCGGAGACCACCGCAAAGAAACTCGAGGACGTCAGAAATGGTGCTAGCGAGGGACCAGGCGTGGTGTACGTAGGGCGTATTCCTCATGGCTTCTATGAGCATGAGATGCGGGAATACTTTTCCCAATTCGGCGACATCAGTCGCCTCCGCTTGTCACGCAGCCAGAAGAGTGGTGCTTCCCGGCACTACGCCTTTATTGAGTTCACTTCGGCTGGTGTTGCTAAGATCGTCGCTGATACGATGGACAATTACCTCATGTTTGGGCATATCTTGAAGTGCAAGGTAGTAGCAAAAGAGCAGGTACATGAGCAGCTGTGGAAGGGCGCCAACAAGCGTTTCAAAGCTGTGCCATGGAACAAGATTGAGGGGAGGAAGTTCGAGATGGGACTCGGTAGGGAGCAGTGGGCTGGTAGAATCGAAGAAGAGAAAAAGCGTAGGGCGTCCAAGAATGAGAAGACTAAGGAAATTGGGTATGAATTTGAGGCGGGCGATTTGAAGGGCGTTGACGAAGTGCCCGTCAGAGATGCAGCGAAGAAGATCGAGAATGGGGAGAAGGTCGAAGAGGAGAAGTCGTTGGTGACGGCTGGGGGTGAAGATGGCAATGGTCCTGTCGTCGTGAGCGAGGAAGTCAAGACTAAGAGAGTGAAGAAGGTTAAAGGCAGGGCAGAAGAGACCACTACCACTTTGGCAAAAAAGACGAAGAGGGCACTGGATGCTGGCGAAGAGGTGGTAGGTTCTGCGGTCAAGAAGGCCAAACAAGGGAAGAACGTAGCTGCCTGAAGGGTGCTAGATCGCTGAGCATCTCGCATCAACCATCTTGAATCTTGACTAGATGGAATGGAATTCTGTAACAAACAACACGCACACAGCAGCGCTGGGAATACTCGCCGGATATTAGCAAGCACATTATTAAATAAATAGTTCCCCGAGTTAGTGTTCCTCCAGTTCCCCTAGTGCTGCTGCTCCTCTTGCCATGATCAATCTTCGGTTCTTCTCCCACTTAATCCATGCCATGGCTTGAAGCAAGCAATCAGCCAAATCATCAAGCTTTTCCACCGAATCCTGCGCAACACCCTGTGCTTTGGATCCTGACAGCTTCTTCTGCTTCACCAACGACTTGCTATCTTTCCTCCGCTTCTTCCTCAAATATGCTTGACCCAACTGCGCAGCTGCTCCTTTCAATTCAAAGTGAGCTCCTTCATCCAACCATTCCGCAACTAATTCTATCTTTGCTGTCTTAGTCTTCGCGCTTTTGGAACCCGGTCCCTCCTTTATAGCACCCTGCTTGTTCGTGATCCAAAAACTCGATACCTTCGAAGGAGCAATCGGATGTACAGTCCCCTTCCATAATCCACGTTCCGCAAACGTTTTCAAGACAGCATAAACCATAGCTTCGAACATATTAACGCGCAAAGTCCATTCCTGCACTGCTGATCCACCCATTGATCTAAATCTTTGCCGTTCAATTAGAATGTGGGTAGGTTTTAGGTCCTCTAGGAGAGTGGTGATAAGGTCGTATGCATGCTGGGAGTAAGTTGCTGGATCGAACGCCTCCTTTGGATTTGAAATTTTGATCTTCCCTGACCGCTTCAATTCTTTGATCGCCTTGTTCGGCACCAGATCTTCAGCTTGCTTTGAATTGTCCAAGTCTTTAGAAATAGCGATACGAGTCCAATCTTCGACCACGGGGTTTCCAATATCTGTCGCAATCCCGCTGCCGGTACGAGGAAGGACGAGGCAGCAGTATGCGAGGTTGCGAATGCCCATATCTATACTGAGGATCCTGCATGGCTCCTGTAGAGTATCCCGGTGCTTGTAAGGAGCGACAGTTGCTTTGGGAAGATGGTCTAGCAGATGGGCGGTCAGAATAGGTTTGGTACCAGACGAATTGACGCCAACAGCTCTAGCTAAGATTCCGAGCTGGGAATTGGTACAGGAGCCGAGCCAGGATAATCGCGACGCCATCCATACTTTAATGGTACGAGTGTATCGATCAACCAACCAATCTCTCGTGGGAAGAAAGTTGACGATCCAAAGATTGCGTTGAGAAGCGACCGAGACCTGACGCGACCCAAGCATTTATGTGAGGTACTCCGTACCTAGAACACCGGGCCGGGCCGACGCCGCCCTTAGGGTGTGCTGACTGGTACTGGACAATGATTCGGGTCATTTCATCATCATTATCTACAAGTTGTGCTGTGTTTTCCATCTTCTCTTCCTTTTCATCTCTACACGTAATTCTGCGAACAAGTCATTCTCCATTGTATCGCATATTTTTTCAAGCTGTCTCACCCAACTCTCCTTCGCTCTGTCAGCCACTATACTGCTGCAACAGCAGTATTACCACGGCTATCCGCATTCTCCCGTCACTTCTCTGTCTCTTTCCCAGCCATGGCTCCTATCACTAAAGAGTGTGATTATCTCGTCATTGGAGGAGGTAGTGGTGGTCTGGCCTCTGCAAGAAGGGCTAGTGGACAATGGAGTGCGAAGACTATCGCTGTAGAAAGTAATCGCCTGGGGGGTACCTGTGTCAACGTTGGGTTCGGACCATCCATAGAGCTCACAAAGAAATTCCTGGCATACTGATCTTCATCAAGGTGCGTCCCCAAGAAGGTCACCTGGAACGCTGCGGCAATTGCAGAAACCCTACATGAAGCCAAAGCATACGGCTTCTCTATCAAGGAGACCGCTCCTTTCGATTGGAAAACCTTCAAACACAAGCGTGATGCTTACGTCGAACGCCTGAATGGCATCTATGCTAAAAACCTTGGAAACGATCACGTTGAATGGCTTCACGGTCGCGCTCGTCTCCGTTCGAAGAATGAAGCCGAGGTTGTCCTCGACGATGGCAGCAAAGAAACCATTCGCGCTAAAAAAATCCTACTGGCCACAGGCGGCCACCCAAACATTCCGAAAATTCCAGGAAGCGAATTGGGCATAACTTCTGATGGTTTCTTCGACTTGGAAAAGAGGCCGGAGAAGGTGGCTCTTGTCGGAGCAGGCTACATCGCTGTTGAGATGGCCGGCATGTTCCACCACCTTGGTAGCGAGACGCATCTGTTCATTAGACACGACAAGTTCTTGCGTAACTTTGACCCAATGATCCAAGACAAGATCGTATCCGAATATGAGCGCCAGTACGTAATCTCAGCTTCCATGTTCGTCTTTTTGACCAAGTATTGAGTCTTGTGACATGTCTTGGCAGTCCTAACTCTCGCAACGTGTTCATAACCCCTCCTTCAATAGGCAATACTGACTGCGAGATTGTAAGAGGTATAATTATACACCGAAACTCCTCGCAATCTGAAGTGGAGAAGCACCCTGAGAAAGCTGGCTGGTTGAAATTGCATTACTCAGACTCTGAAAATAAATCGGGTACTCTTGACATCGACTGCCTCCTCTGGGCTATTGGCCGTAACCCCGAAGTCGAAGATCTAGGTTTAGATAAAGCAGGCGTGAAGCAGAATGAACGCGGCCAGATCATTGCGGACGACTACCAGAATACCAATATTGACGGCATATATTCCCTTGGAGATGTCTGCGGCAAGATCGAGTTGACTCCGGTTGCGATAGCGGCCGGACGCCAACTTGCCAATCGACTCTTCGGCGGCCCTGACTTCAGGAATGCAAAGCTAGATTATACAAACATTCCCTCTGTCGTTTTTGCCCACCCAGAAGTCGGCTCAATAGGCATGGTAGGTACATTCCAAGACTGATCATTCCCATTTGGTATTGAAGTTGAGTCGCGAAACACGTTTTCGGGAGCAAGAAGACTTTTCTACTTCCCAGACCTGTCTTGCAATTCTATTACCTACGTCAGATAAGCGATGCTGACTCCGAAATTTGCGTAGACAGAACCAGAAGCCCGTGAGAAGTATGATGACAAAGTCAAGGTATACAATACGAGTTTCACGGCAATGTACTATGCCATGATGGAGCCAAATGAGAAGGCGCCTTCGAGCTACAAGCTCATCTGTGTCGGTCCAGAGGAGAAGGTGGTTGGATTGCACATTCTGGGAAGTGGCTGCTCTGAGATGCTGCAGGGCTTTGGTGTAGCAGTCAAGATGGGTGCAACGAAGAAGGATTTTGATAGCTGCGTGGCTATACATCCTACAAGTGCTGAAGAGTTGGTGACATTGAAGTAGAAATGAATTCGCTGAGGCTAGAAGTACTTAGAGCTTGTGCCCTGCATAAGGATCTGCACGATCTGCACATGTGAAAAGAAGCTTGTGATGACGTGGGGTCACAATTCCGGGTACAACAACGACCATGGTTCAGATATGTTTGATATCTTCTAATCATACTGCACTTTATACAGACAACCAAAGCGCTACCAAAGGATTTTGTGCACTTTAATATGGCATCAACGCATCAACTGAAGGTTCAAGATATCTTCTCTGTAAAGGACTATGTCTGCCTTGTACGCACCCTTTCCGAGCAATTGCTTCCCTTTCAATACTTTTGTCTTAAGGCTCAGGACTTGTTGCTGGAACACGAAGTAGATGTTGAGGCCTTAAAGCTCCTCAGACCTGTCTTGTAATTTGAAGTCTGTCTTGAAGTGGAACGGCTAACTCGGTAATGATGTAGGTCACTGGAGGTGGTACAGGCATTGGTCTGATGGCAACTCAAGCCTTGGCTGCTAATGGTGAGACACTCAGCCTTTCGCTATATCTGTAGAGTCTTTCCTCAGAGTTAAGGACATGAACAACATTCCCGACAGCTAACGGAATCAGGCGCCAAGGTCTATATCACAGGCCGCCGGATGGAAGCACTCGAAAATGCCGCCAAAAACCACAGTCCAGAAGGAGGAGGACATATCATACCGTAAAGTCAACCGGCAAGCTAATAGGAGAAAGAACGCTGACCAATACACTTGTAGCATTGGACCATGTGACGTCACTTCGAAATCAGATCTCGAGAAGCTTGTCCAAAAATTGGCCTCAAAGGAAAAATATCTCAACTTGCTCAGTGTGTCGCTTCGTCTCTTCACTGCCAATAACCTTCTGTTACTGATCCCACCCGCACAGTAACGAACGCAGGCGTTTCCGGGCCCAAGGCCCCACCGGACTCCACCTCTGCGGACGAGTTACACGACAAGATTTGGCAAGCCGAGTCGGTCGATGACTGGTCCAGTGTATTAAAGACCAATGTAACGTCCGTTTATTTCAGCACCGTCGCATTCCTGCCCCTCCTACAGGCATCCATTGGAGAAAAATTTGCTCCACGCTCGCCTTCTGTCATCGTCATTTCAAGTATGAGCGGCATAATGAGGCACAGTCAAGGCCACTTCGCCTATAACGCGGCAAAAGGAGCCACGGTACACCTCAGCAAGCTCATGAGTGCAGAATTTGAGAAGGCGGAGGTAAGGGTAAACAGCATAGCTCCGGGCTACTTCCCAAGCGAGATGACCATGAAGGAGAGCGATGACAGTAACAAGACTCACATGCCGGCGGAAAAGGTCCAAGAGAAAGGGCATGTGCCCGCGGATAGGCCAGGCAGTGATGAGGAGATGGCACAAGCAGTAATTTTCTTGTGCAAGAATTGTTATGTCAATGGAGAGCTGATTGCGGTCGATGGTGGGGTACTCAACCAGGTGCCGGGGAGATAAATAAAAAGCTTTGGAGCAGTGCTAGAGGCAGCATAGAAGACCAGAGATCAGGATGCTACATATGAAGATTAATGTCTAGCATGCAGGCTGCTGACACTTTCGATACCACCATCTCCTCTTTTGACTTTCCTGTCTTTTGGCTCTAGTCCAGACGAGCTGGACGGAGAGCGTCCAGGAATTGCTTGTGACCCCGTCTCACCAGTCAATTTTTCTATGACCTTGATTTTGCCCTCTGCACGACTGAAGCGATCGTCAAATTCCGACACAGAGTTCTCGTCGTTAGCTGTTGAGAGACTCTCTGGCTCTGTAAGAGCATATAGCGTTCGAAGATGTTTCTCCAAGCGCACATTGGCAAGTAGACTGGGGACCTCTGTTCGTCCTGGTAGTGTTTCTACTTCAGGCTGAACACCTCCTCCGCTGCTCTCTTGTACTGATTGGCTCGTAAAAATTGTCTGCATGTCTGCAGTGCCGGCATTTTGCCTGTCAGATACAGGAGTATCTTGTAAGACTGGAAGTCTCCCTGTCCATATCACTGCTCTTCCATACAATTTGCCCATCGAGGCGTATTTCTTGAAGCCCTTTTCGAGCCCGAATAAGCGGCCTTCAATCAGTCCGGCGCGATTACCGTCCGAAGCCCCCAACTCGTAACCCTCTTTGTAGAAGTCATCTTCGAGAGTGAGAAGGGAATCGAAGGGATCGTCTTCCTGTGTAGCCATCATGACAAGCCTGTAGGTGCCAGCGGAAGATGATGAGTGGTGTCGCGAGTCGCAAGTGACATATTGATCGAGATTCGAGACCGAGGTCCTCTAGTGTACTCTACTCTTGGCTCTAGGTACCGCCTCGGCGGCACAGCGCACCTGAAGGCCCGGGCACTTTTCTACCATTAGCTACCTACAATTATTGAGAGTACTAGAGATGCTTCTTCATCAGCACATTTGAATCTCATTCTTCAGAAGACCGCATTCTCACCGTTGTTATACAAGTCTCAAGCCTGGCTGTTAGTCTTCGGCAAGGTGCCACCGGCTAGATAGCGAAATTTGGGAAGGAGCGCTTCCTTCTCTTGCCTGATGAGGACGCTCCCGCCATAGCCAAGGACACCTCGTCCCTATCGATTATCAGACTACAGGCACGAGGGCATAGAAGGTTGCCTCCAACTGTGTGTGCGACGACGTTGCGACCCGGTAATGCCTGGCCCACGGCTTGGTCCTGTCCAGCGACATTTGCTTCCTACCTCATTCGCGATCTGGACATGGCTCAGCTTATGTATGTGGATGTGGAATGTCTCGGCGGCAGAGAAAACTGCAGCAGACTACTATGTCCAGTCTTTGCCTGGCCAGCCAGACGGCCCGCTTCTGAAAATGCATGCTGGGTAAGAGGGCAAAGATCATCCCATCTCCTGTACTTGGATTGACATTCTCATAGTCACATCGAAGTCAATCCTGCGCACAATGGCAATCTCTTCTTTTGGCACTTTCAGAATCGCCATATAGCCAATCGGCAACGGACGGTATTATGGTTGAATGGCGGACCGGGCTGCAGTTCGATGGATGGTGCTTTAATGGAGATTGGACCCTACCGACTAAAGGATGAATCGACTCTTCGATACAATGATGGATCTTGGGATGAATTCGCCAACATCCTTTTCGTCGACAATCCTGTCGGGACAGGCTTCAGCTATGTTGATACAGATAGCTACATTCATGAGCTCAAGGATATGGCTGATCAAATGATTCTCTTCCTGAAAAAGTTCTTCGAAATGTTCCCCGAGTACGAGGATAATGATGTGAGTACCCACCGTTAAAAAGGAAAACTCTGCTCAATAGTAATTTTACGACAGCTTTACATTGCTGGAGAATCCTACGCAGGGCAACATATACCATATATAGCCCAAGCTATTCTCTCCAATAACAATTTGCCTAATCAGTCCAAAAAGTGGAATCTGTCTGGTCTCCTTATAGGGAACGGGTGGATATCGCCCGTCGAGCAATACGACTCGTACCTCACAATGGCCTACGACGCTGGCGTAATCCAGGGCGGCTCTGCCGAGGCAAATGAGCTTGAAAAGCAGCATCAAATGTGCACCGACGCTCTCAATCAGCCAGGAGGTTTAGACAAAGTTGATCTGCCACCATGCGAGTCCATCCTCCAATCAATCCTGAGACTTTCTCAAAAGGACGGACAGTGCTACAATATGTACGACGTCCGTCTTCGAGATAGCTACCCCAGCTGCGGTATGAATTGGCCCCCAGATCTCACAAATGTCACTCCGTACCTGCGGAGGGATGATGTCAAAGCGGCTCTGCATATCAACAAAGACAAGAAGTCCGGATGGACGGAATGTTCTGGAGCGGTGGGCTCAAATTTCAATACCGCCAAATCCAAGCCAACCATACAGATTCTGCCCGACATCCTGAAACAAATGCCCGTCATCCTCTTTTCCGGAGACCAAGATCTTATCTGCAATCACATCGGCACCGAAGAGCTCATCCACAACATGGAATGGAACGGCGGCAAAGGTTTTGAACTTTCTCCCGGAACATGGGCCCCTCGCAGGCATTGGACTTTCGAAGGAGAGCCAGCAGGACTTTACCAAGAAGCTCGAAACCTGACTTACATTCTGTTTTACAATTCATCCCACATGGTACCTTTCGACTATCCCAGGCGAACAAGAGACATGCTTGATCGATTCTTGGGTGTAGATATAGCGAGCATTGGCGGTAAGCCAACGGATTCCCGGATTGATGGCGAAAAGGGGGTAGAGACGAGTGTGGGCGGTCACCCTAACAGCACATCAGCCGAACAGGCAGAAGCAGAGAAGCTTGAGGAAGCCAAGTGGGCTGCATACTACAAATCGGGTGAGGTAGCACTGATTGTAGTTATCATACTTGCGAGCGTATGGGGCTTCTACGTCTGGCGGGATCGGCGCAGAAGGGCAGGCTACGACGGTCTATTTGGAGGTTCAAACACCCATCTGGTCAGGAGTAAGAGGCAAGCCAGGGACGTTGAAGCCGCAGATTTCGATGAAAGCGAGCTGGATGAGCTGCATGTTGCGAGCCCGGACCCACACCATGATGGAGCGGAGGAAAGATATAGTCTTGGCGAAGAGAGTAGTGACGAGGAAAGACGGAGGAAGGCTAATGGGCATGCGAATGGGCATGTCAGTTTTAAGGATTAGTAATGAGTTCCTGAGCGTTGTTGCATGGCGCCGGAGTCAAGGATAAAGGACCCATCTTGCATTATCACACAAATGTATATTCTACAAGCGAGTGATCACTCACACCATCTTCTCCGATCCTGGCCACGGTCAAGGCACATGACCAAGCGTGCTGGTCGCTCTTCTGTACAATTGAGGGGAGTGACGGAGGCTTACGGGGGTTACGAGTACTACTTGGATGCAAAGATATTCGAACATCCAATAATCTTGTGGATATCCTTTTCGGTCTTACGACTCGAGCGGGCCATCTGATATAATGCATACTTGTGAATGATAAGAGTGGTATGGAGTAGTTTCCAATTATTCAATGCATGCTGTGCATATGAGGGAAATAGGGTTCGCTAATCTCTGGCTCCCAGGCCTCATGAAAAATGCTTGTTGTTCATCAGATACCAAAAGGCATTATCTTGTCTTCAGCGGCACTCCGACACCACACTGGGTCTGCAGAGTGCCTAAGTGCTTGACTCTATGATTGTTATATCATCATATGAACAGATTTTTGATGGACGTCTGGCCCGTATGACCGAGCACACCTTGCCTTTTCTGTCTTCTGCTCCCATGACGATGGTGCTAGGGAACGCGAAGGACCAGAAACCCAAGATACAGAGCCGTAGTAATGAGAAGAATGATAGGGACTCCTCGCCTCAGCTGTAAGCCCCATTGAGTTACCATCATCTTCCTCGCTCCAATCCGGAAACCAGAGCAAGTCAGAAGAAGGCAATCACATGTCTATCCATCTCGACGAATGTATCCTCCATCCACGCACCTATGAGCTCCCTTCCTCACATCCAAACACGATCATGACCTCCTCTCCCCACTCCCAACCCAAGCCATGCGGTGCACAGATCAGTCGAGCTCGGACTCTTATCTTCGCCCATGCGATCTCTCAGACTGCACCCCGGCGCCCGAGAAGAAAGTGAGAGGAGTACCAACAGCCAGGAAAGGGGTTATGAGGGTAGGAGAGGTGGGGAGGAGGTGAACCCCGAAAGTTGCTTTTATGGGGGTGCGTTTCCGCTTTCTCAGTACTCCAAGGAGCAAGAGGTGTCCGGGGACTTTCTCCCAAAGCACTATGTGTAATCGTGAGAAGCCTAAAACACGAGTGTATCGACTTCTCCGTTTGTAAGCTTTGAGTGCGATTATCCGAGCGAGGAGTGAAGAGAACAAAGAGAGATTGTGGCACAAGTTTTGGCTCAGAAAAGTCGGTAGGGCTTAGCGCGGAAATGTACAGACGCAGACGCGCAGGACGCGCTGGAATTTGGACGATACTGGCAACTGCTTGAAGCGTCCTGACATTATGGCCAGGGGTAAAGTAATCCTTTCGCTACAACAAATGGGCTGAGAGCTTCAACACTTTCCCGTTTCTTCCCTTGTTGCTCTCCACTTTTTTTCTGTGTTGCCAGTTCTCAGACCTCAAAAATGTCCGGCCTCTTCGGAAGTGCAACCAACTCAAGTGCATCCGCCGCAAACAGTACCACGGGCGATATCTCGAAAGACGTTACACTGAGCAACCCACCAGAAGACAGCATCTCAGATATCTCATTCTCCCCCCAATCAGAACATCTCGCCGTTGCATCATGGGACAAGAAAGTCCGCATCTACGAAATCAACGCACAAGGAGGGAGTGAAGGGAAAGCTCTCTTCGAGCATGAAGGTCCTGTACTGAGCTGCTGCTGGTCGAAGGTATCTATCTCAATCTTGTGTATTTGTGGGCGCCCACACTGACACTTGTCGCAGGATGGTACGAAAGTAGTCGGCGGTGGTGCCGACAAAGCAGCTCGCCTCCTCGACCTTGGCGCTGGCGCTACTACTGCTCAGCAAGTCGCTGCCCACGACCAGCCAATACGCTGCGTGCGCATGATCGATGTCCCTGGACAAGCTACACCAGTGCTTGTGACGGGGTCCTGGGACAAGACAGTCAAATACTGGGATCTACGGCAACCCAACCCCGTAGCAAGTGTCGGGTGCCAAGAGAGAGTTTACAGCATCGATAGTAAAAACAACCTCCTCGTCATCGGTACAGCGGACCGGTACATCAACATCGTGAACCTCGACAAACCAACCGAATTCTACAAGACCCTACAATCTCCACTGAAGTGGCAGACCCGCGTGGTAACCTGCTTTTCGGATTCTTCTGGCTTCGCCGTCGGCAGCATAGAAGGCCGTTGCGCCATTCAATACGTCGAAGAGAAAGATTCATCTTCAAATTTCAGCTTCAAATGCCACAGACAAACACCACCCAACACCAGAGACATCAGCAACGTCTACTCCGTCAATGCTATTTCATTCCATCCCGTTCACGGGACATTCAGTACTGCAGGCTCTGACGGCACATTCCACTTCTGGGACAAAGACGCGAAGCATCGCCTGAAAGGGTATCCAGAGGTTGGAGGGACCATTTCAAGTACCGCCTTCAATCGGGGCGGGAATATTTTTGCCTATGCCGTGAGCTATGATTGGAGCAAGGGGTATTCCGTGAATACTCCACAGACGGTGAACAAGGTCATGTTGCACGCGGTACAGGGGGACGAGTGTAAGCCGAGGCCGAAGGCTGTGAAGAGATGATCCCGCGAAGGAACAGTCAAGTTTGACATTCCTCAAAATGAAAGGCAGGAACGGTTCGGTGATTTTTTTTGAGCGGCTTAGATACCACCAAGCGTTTTGCGAAGAGCAGTGGAAGCTCGTAAGGGGGTTACCAGGTCATTTGTGGAGATCTGTGGTCAGGGACTGTATCAAGGATGCAGCATCACAGGAATGATTTTAATGAACACCTTTTGACCCCAGAGCTGTGGGCGGTAAAAAGCTGGATAGGAATACAAACTCACCAAAACAGACTTTGACCATTTCACACGATTTGATGCTTTACATGTCCGTTACTAAGATATCTCGGCTTCATACCTTAGTTCTTCGTACCTTCTTTCTTGGCCAGCAAATTCAATGCACTCCCTGCTAATATGAATCCAGCTTGATCTTTGCTGATCGTATGTCTGACCTTGATTATCTGCTCTCCGTCCTTCTTTACACACTTCAAACTTACGTCTCCTTTGCCGCCGTTTCGTAACATGTCATACAGACCGATTGTAGACACCACGTCTCCTGCCCGGACTGTTTCATAGTCGTCCTCGTGGTCAAAGACCAGAGGTACGATTCCTTGCTTCTTCAAATTCGTCTCATGTATCCTAGCGAAGCCTTTGGCGAGTATGACACGCGCGCCCAGATATCTGGGCTGCAACGCAGCATGCTCTCTCGCACTACCTTCGCCGTAGTTACTCTCAGCAACCACCATCCACTCTTTCCCTTGGTTCTTCCACTTCTCAGCTAGTTGCGGAATGCCGCTTTTGGGCGGCTCACCAGACTCTGCAAGATTATAATGGTCGTAAGCGATGTTTGTCTCGCCAGTCTCTGCATTCACGGCGCCAATCAGCGTATTCGCACTTATATTAGGTAGATGGCCTTTGTATTTAAGCCATGGGCCTGCAGCGGAGATTGTATCCGTCGCTTGATGATTTCGGAGTCAGCTTTACTCTTTTGGGGGGGGTTTAGAAATCGCGAGACATGTCTCACGAGCAGACAACTCTGGAGACATATTTGACGACTCGTAAGACAGCGTGAATGGGGAAGAATTGCCTCGGAAATTATAACGTACTGCATTGACCTTTGACTTTATATAGGACACGGAGACCTTCAAGTTCTCCAGCAGGAAATGGAGCAAACGGTTCAAGAACGGCCAGACGATCGGAAGTTGGAGATATGATGACGGGATGGTCAGGAGAAGGAACACCAGGATTTGGGGCGAACTCTGGCTTGCCTTGGGCAAAGCCTGCAGACGGGAGGTCGAGTCCTGAAGGAGGAGAGAATTGGAATGGGTTGCCAGAGGGCGTGGGAATGGTGTCGGTCAGTGGGTTGAAGATTGTGCTGCCTGCATACGACATAGCGGTGACGATCTCGGGTGAGGCAAGAAAATTCATAGTTGATGGGTTGCCATCGTTTCGCCCCTTGAAGTTACGGTTATAGGATGAGAAAATGGCATTCGTTTCACCTTTCGAGACGCCATCGGTACGTTTCCACTGGCCGATGCATGGTCCGCAAGCATTGGCTAGGACAGTGCCACCAGCGGAGGAGAAGGTCTCCAACGTCGAGTCGCGGGCAAGTGTTGCTCGGATTTGCTCACTGCCTGGTGTGATGAAAAAGTCGGCCTTGGGCTCCAAACCGACAGCTGATGCTTGCTTGACAATATTTTCGGCCCTGGTCATATCCTGGTACGAGCTGTTTGTGCAACTTCCGATCAATCCTGCGCCAAAAGATTCCGGCCATTTGTTGATCTTGACCGCATCCTTGAATTGTGAAAGAGGCGTGGAGAGATCTGGCGTGAATGGTCCGTTGATATGCGGTTCAAGACTAGAGAGGTCGATAGTAACAACTTCGTCGTACAGGGCCTCAGGGTCAGCGCGGAGCAACTGGTTTCCCTCTCCACTCAGTAGAGCGTAGCTGCCGACTTCGCGCAATAAATCAAATCTATGCGTCGATCGCAGGTAAGGCATCATGCTCTGCGTGAACGGAAATAACGACGTCGTGGCACCCACTTCGGCTCCCATATTGGATATTGTAGCCATGCCAGTACAGCTGAGAGTGTACACACCCGGGCCAAAGTATTCAATGATAAAACCCGTGCCCCCCCGTACAGTCAGGAGACCTGCCAGCTTCATGATAACGTCTTTTGGGGCAGCCCAACCGCTCAACTGCCCTTGCAGTTTTACACCCAGAATTCGGGGAGCTTTCAATTCCCACGGCGCATCCACCATGGCATCTACTGCATCTGCGCCACCAACACCAATAGCGATGGCACCCAAGCCGCCGGCATTTGGAGTGTGACTGTCGGTTCCGAGCATCATGAGGCCCGGCGCAGCATAATTCTCCAGGACAGTCTGATGTATAATACCCGCGCCAGGCGGCCAGAACTCGATCCCATACTTTTTGGCCGCTGACTCTAGGAAATCAAAGACCTCCTTGTTACCGGTAATCGAAGCAGGAAGATCAACGTCTGCGCCTCTTTCCCCGACTATCATATGGTCACAATGGATACTCGTAGGCACTGCAGTAGATGGGAGGCCGCAAGACATGAATTGCAGCAGCGCCATCTGTGCAGATGCATCTTGCATGGCCACCCTGTCCGGCTTGAGTTTGAGAGTGGCATTTCCCCGGACAACCTTGCCACTTTGGGTGTTTGATAGCAGAGATTCTTCGACGCTATATAAATGCGAGTATAGAATTTTCTCCGCGAGAGTGAGCTGCGTCTCTCTCCCAAGTACATTGTAAACTTCCTTCAGCTTTCTGAGAAGGCCTTTGTAGGGAGGGATTCTCGAGGCGACATTCGAAGCTGCCAGAGTCTTTGCTGTTGTCTCTGTGGCCAAGAATCGAAGGTGAAGGCGGCCATTTGGGCGCAGACATTTGATATTCTGACAGGGTCAATGAAAGTGACTGTCTGATAACGCGAATGTCAAACCAACCTTCAGTGAAGCAACTGCTCTAGATTGCGCACATAACGAGTGCATGATCGCTACATACTACTTTTGATGATTACGGGGACGATTGAGCCAACATCGGTTAAATCTTTTCGTATTTAACTCTAGACACTGACAATGACAGAAGCCCAGGCTTTCTGACCTTCCCCCACCGCGCAAAAGAATGTCAACCTTTGCAGAACTGATCGAATTCTCGGTACTGGTTTCTCGATATACAATCCTACGTGTTTACGGGTATTCGCACTACTGAAATTCAAGCCTTGAAGAATAGGGATCTTTCACATGATTAGACAATGCATGAATTAATTAGTCCGAACTACCCACAGCGAAATATAGGTGATGAGCAAAGACTGCTCCTAGTCCTGCTGTTTGACTATCCCAAGATCTCTGTCATCAAGCCAGCACTGCTTGTCTATAAAATGTGCATCTGCTCAGAAGAAAGCGAAGAGTTCGAAGTATGACTTGGCGTTGCCGCTGGAGATGCGTAATGTTCCGCCAAAGCGATGCCTCGAGTAGGCTCTACATATGACAAGCGACATCGACCCACTATGGAGTTTTAGGTGATTCACAGGGCCATGGCGATACCAGCGACTGCCAGAAGTCCAGCAGCGACAGAGCCAACATTCTTTGTTGCGGCCCCAGTAAAGCTTGGTCCGGATCCAGTCTTTGACGGAGAGACGGGTGTGATTGGAGAGCCGGAGGCTGCACCCGATCCTGAGCCTGAGCCTGAGCCTGAGCCTGAGCCTGAGCCTGAGCCTGAGCCTGAGCCTGAGCCTGAGCCTGAGCCTGAGCCTGAGCCTGATCCTGAGCTCGAGCCCGAGCCTGCGGTGCCGGTTGCGAAGGGGCCCGATGCGCCGGTTCCAGTTGCAAGTCCAGTAGCGCCAGCTACGCCACTAGTGCTGTCGACGAGAGTCAGTCGAAGAGCTATTATGGTCAACGGATTTTGGTGTCTTACACAACAGCTGTGGTTTTTGTGCATGAACATTCTTTATCAAAGTATGTGGACGTGGACGTGTATACGACTGGGTAAGGCGCTGAGCTGTTGGAGCTGGCTGATGGAGATGCTGTGCCTGACGCAGATGTCGAGCTTGAAGATGAGTTAGAGCACGCTAAGAGAGTCGCTGAGTTAGCTAATGATCGATGAACCACGTGAATAAAGGGCTTCACAACATACAGCCATAACCCGCCTCCTCGCACGCAATTTTGTATGAAGACAAAGCAGCGGCTTGGTCTCCAGAAGGGCAAAGATCCGACTGGATACGCGACTTGAACTCAGCCGCTTCTTTACAGCAAAGAGTTTTCTGGTCGGCTGCGTAATGTCCAGGTGATGCGGTCTGGAATGAGCTGCGTTGGGTGTTAGCTTATACGGCGACCTCGACGTTGGAGGAGCTTTCATACGAAAAGACTTTCATGAAGCAGGCAGGCTGTACAACTGCTTGGGCAACTGCAACTTGAGCAGAGGCGGCGAAAAGAGCGCAGACGAAAGCGGTTTTGGCGAACATGGCGAAGAATGTTTGTTGTTGCTTTGGTCTGGTGGGTCGATTACAAGAGCGAGAATTAAATTAAGTGAGTGTGTGTTGGGCAAGAGGATTGCGACAGAATGAGCTGAGTGCTAAAGAGCGACTGGAGGTCAAATGTGAAAATGAAGAAGGGTTACTTGGTGATGATAATGAAAAGAGGTGAAAGAGAAGGAAGAAAGGAAGAAAGGAAGAAGAGCGAGGCACGTGAAACCTGAAGGGGGAAAACTCAGGGGTTTTGGCTTGCGACTGCCTAATAATAACAAGCGTCTAACTAGGCCTTAGCCACATTTTGGCGTGTCCAGTCAGATTCGCGTCTGAGCCTCGGACCATCCTTTGGCCGATTCCGCGTACCTGCATATTTGAACGGCCTTTCCGTCAGCCTTGTCTACGGGTAGAATGTGTCGTGCCTCTGACATTTTCATCTAGGTATAGTGAATATAGTTAGGAATGGGTGAACAAAACAAGTTTTCAAACAAAGCCGAGCATACGGGTTAAAAATGTTCTTGAAGGCTTTGTATTTATTAGTGTTCCTATGAATATCAATAATATTGCCAGAGTTGAAAGGCATTCCGCTGCCGTAAAATATAATGTTGGTGGCTTGAAACATCATTAACGGGTTGGACCTGGCTGAAGGTCGGCCCAAATTGCAACGGTGCTGCCACAACTGCAAACGAGTCTATTTGCTGAGACATAAAGTATCTCTCTTCAAGGAAGCCGGAAAGTTCATTCCCTTCCAGCATCGCGGCAAGATAGCCATAACATTCTCAACGATGAATGGGCATCGTTGCGAGACACTTCGTCAGAGAACAAAGCGGTCTTTAGGTGCAGCTTCTTGGATCTCTATTGATTCGAGCTTGGCGCTGGATTCGGACGATTCGATTCGGTTGCAGACTCGGCGCTGCCTCCCCACGAGAGGACGGAATTATCTGGGATTCTAGGTGCAAGACACTGGTTCATCGCCCTGCTCATCCACCTGTAGCTTCCCTATAGAAAGAAATGCTCCGATTCGCTCCAGCTGTAGCAAACCCTTCATTCTTCCCCGTCTTCGGTAACCACTTGACGCTCCAAAGGGTCTTCTCCGTCTCCCTATGTGTCGCGACACATGTTCGCTGTTCGATAGACCAGACCTTGACTTTGCCGTCAAATGCGCTGCAACACATCATTAGAAAGCCTCGGAGAAGCCCACAGTGTCACAAGCATACCCGCTCAACAAATACTCTCCGCTATCGCTCCAGTCCAACGATAGTATCCATGCTCCGTGACCGGTAAGAGTTGCTACCTGGTCGCCAGAAGAGACATCATACAAGGCAATCACCCTGGAGTCACCAGCAGCTGCGAGTAGCGTACCTCTTGGGGAAAATGCAACCGCTCGTACAGGCTTGACGAGGCCTAGCAAGAACTTAGCAGATGTCAATGCACTCCAAAAGTGGGCGACTTGCCGGGCAGTGAGTGGAATAACCTTCCGGTATCATTGTTGAAGATGTAAATTCCACCATTCTCATGCCCAGAAGCAGTAAATCTTCCATTCACGGACTACCAATATATTAGCCACCATTTCTCGCACCCTTTTAAATAGCGACAGACTAAGTCTATGCTCATCCCGAAACTTCCTTTCGTCTCGAATTCGCGAATCTTGACCCCATCTGCAAGATTGTCCCATACGTTGATTCTCCCATCAAAAGACGTAGCAGCAAGGTATTGTCCATCCTCAGAGAGGGCTATCGACCAGATTTCTCCCGCTTTGTTGTCATCTGCACAGATGTCAGGATTCGAGTCTCTTCATATCGAAAACCTTTGGAGAAGGTGGAAAAGGGAAAGTCGCACCCACAATCTTGGTCCTTTCACTCCACCGCCCATCATCTCGTACTGCCCAGATTTTGACTTCGCCCTCAAAGCCCACGCTTGCGGCTACCTGCCCATTTGTGCTTATGGCGGTATGGTGGCAGCCTAATTTGTGAGCATTATCGAGAGTCTGAAAGAGGGGAAAATCCGGTTGGTTGGTGGAGTGGACTCGGATGGACGAAGAGCCGGAAGAGGAGAGGATCTGAGATGCCGTAGTGCTTAGGGAAAAGATGTCTGTGGGATGGGCTAAAGCTTGATGAGTAAGGACATTGTAAAGAAAACGTCGATTAGTTGTAGACTTACCATGATCGATGGTGTGCGTGGTAAGGTATTGCTTTGACTGGCTAAAGTCAAATACGTTCCCTGAATCTGAGGTAATGAGCGTACCATATTTCACGAATTACAGAAGTTGTTGCACAATTGATGGTAATTGGACCTCGCAAGATTGAATAGAAGGGAATATCATTAGCGAAGAACGTTGTGAAGGTTAAAGAAGTGAGCTTCGGGAGTCTGGAGGTTTCCTCTACTGGCAGGGTTTACATCTTTCGAGCAAGCCATGAATGGGAGAATCATGCCCCAACCTTGCAACGGTCTGATGATTCACTCAAAGGTTTGCAGCTAGGAACGAATGATAATCTATGCTCATTGTACGCTGATGCACGGAACCTGAAGCTTTTGCATCACACCATACGCCAACCTAATGCTCCTCTGCACCACGCTGTACCGCCAAATGGAGCCCCTGATCTCGTATGCAATTATGTATCATGCGTCCACCGTTGCTGTCGTCTCTTTAGACCCTTCGGATCCCTTCTCACCCCACATATCTCTGATCTCTGAAGAAATCCAGCTTAGCAAAGTCCTAGTATCCAACTAGGTTGATACGAACCATTGACGCAAAACGGACACAGCAGATGCGCTCTCTTCACATTACCACAAGCCGAGCACTTATTCAGGGCAGTCACATCTTTCAAAGCCTTCCCAGCCATGAATCGTTGACGCTTTTTCCTATGTGATGTCTTCTTTTTCGGCACCGCTCGCAGAATTGATTCCCAGAGCCCAGCTAATATTGATGGGACGTCGAATCGTGTGACTGTGGACATGGTAACTGATAGCTGTAAAATGGGTTGTAGGATATGTCCGAGAAGGGGGGCGGTCCTTGCACGTAATGGTGATATTGTAATTGGAGAGGCCGTCGCGAAGGGCAAGAGCAGGCGGGGAAACTGCTGGTGTAGGGCCATGACGAGTAGCTGAGGCAATTCACAGTCTTCTTTTCTGGTGATTCGGTCGTGGATGGAACTTCGTTGGGGGAAGTATTGATTTGACTTTACAGAAAAGAAATCAAGGCTGCGCGCTAGCGCGAACCCCCTTTCAAATGTCTGCCGAAGCTCTTCTTCCCAAGCTGTTTCCTTCATCATTGAGTGATTGATCGACCAACGAACCCAACCTTGACGCGCTGTCCTGAAGTCAGTTTGTTCCTCGTTCTAAGCATACTCAGGCTTCCACCCTGCTCAGCCCATCATGGCAACTGCAATGTCTCCCCAACAAGGTCCCGTGATGCCCAAGAGCCATGTCGGTTTCGACAGCATTACTACCCAGATTGAACGCAAACTCCTCAAACGTGGTTTCCAATTCAACGTCATTTGCGTTGGTATGGCTAGAGTACACCCTCTATGGCGACAGGTTCTGATGCCTGACAATTGCTGCAGGTCAAACAGGATTGGGGAAATCGACCCTTATAAACACCATCTTCGCATCTCATCTCATAGACTCCAAAGGTCGCCTCTCTCCCTCTGAGCCTGTCCGAAGTACAACCGAGATCCAATCAGTCTCTCACGGTGCGCTCAAAGATTTCCACATACTGGAGAAGTGCTAAAAACATATGATAGTAATTGAGGAGAATGGCGTACGCCTACGGCTCAACATTGTTGATACTCCAGGCTACGGTGATCAAGTGAACAACGACAGATGGTAAGGAGTCACGATCCACATTGATACTGCGGCAATCTAACTCGCTATAGTTGGGATCCCATTGTCAAGTACATCAAGGACCAGCACTCGGCATACCTGCGAAAGGAGCTTACGGCGCAACGAGAGCGATACATCCAAGATACCCGTGTTCACTGTTGTCTTTTTTTCATTCAACCATCAGGTCATGCGTACGTTGCCCGTAGCATCAATGCTCGATTCCGCACAAGAATATACTAACTCTCTCCAGCCTCAAGCCCATAGATATTGTGGTTCTGAAGAAGTTGTCTGATGTCGTCAACGTGGTTCCTGTGATTGCGAAGTCTGATTCGTTGACCTTGGAGGAGCGCATGGCCTTCAAGGAGCGAATCAAGGAAGAATTCACGTTCCACAACCTGCGAATGTACCCTTATGATAATGACGAGCAAGATGAAGAGGAACGTGCCACAAACAGCAGTATCAAGGATCTCATCCCCTTCGCCGTGGTTGGATCAGAGAACTCGATCGTCGTGGGTGGACGATCAGTGCGTGGCCGCCAGAATCGCTGGGGTGTGATCAATGTCGAGGATGAGAACCACTGCGAGTTTGTGTCGCTGAGGAACTTTCTGACTCGCACGCACCTGCAAGACCTCATCGAAACCACCTCGCAGATCCATTACGAGACTTTCCGTGCGAAGCAATTGCTGGCGCTCAAAGAGAACAGTGCTGCTGGTCAAGGCAGCAGGCCTATCAGCCCGTCTGCGGATCGGGAGTTGAGCCGGCAGTCACAAAGAATGACGATGAATGGATATTGAACCGGGAACGCCTGGAAAGTTCT